CAATCCCTATTGTAGTTGGAAAAGTTTATTTTTCGACATGTTTTCATCTTTGATAGCAGTACTCCTCATTTTATAGTTGTATTTTTTCTTTGGACAATATTGAGCATTGTGTTTAGCTTCTTTATAATATAAACATAGTCTTTCTTGACAACGACAAGTCTTTTCTTATTTGATAAGAGGTTTAAAATAAAGTGCATCAATTTGCATATCTTCTACTTCAAAATGTTTAGATTAAGCAGTAGTTGGTGTTGTTATTGAATTGTAATAATATTGAAGTTTCCTTTTGCAATTCTCAGATCTAATGCAAAAAGTTGATTATTCCGTTTCATAGCAAAGTCAATTGCTTGTTTCAATATTTGAGGATGACGTAAATTAAGCATCAATTTCTTTACTTCATATTGTAATGCGTAGAGAAATTTGCTAATGAATGCTCCATCATCCCACTTGATATCTGTTGCTAAGTATTAAATTTGTGAAGCATATAATATTAGTGAACAAATATCTTGTTGTAAGATATAAATCTTGTTGGTTGGAACACGGATTGCATCATGTTTTTCTATACATAGATCAAAACTCCACTAAAAATGCTTCCAAATTATGCTATATTGGATCACATTGTTCAAGAAATGATGAAAACTATGATAAGGTAGAATTTGAAAGTAATGTTCCTATAAACTTGAGTTGTGATCCTAGAGATGGATAATTTTGAGGTCGTAGTTCAATCACCAATTTTACCTAATTAATGAATCTTTGAAACTTAGATCTTGTGCTATCAAACTTCTCAAACAATCCTATTTTTAGTTCTTTAAAAATTAAATGGTGTTCCATTGTACGAGCAGTAATATGGCTTGGTGTAGATGTTGAAGCAACTCCAATCATCTCCATATCTTCATTGCATAATAATCTTGTTGCTCCTTATGGTAGTAGATTAAATTGATGCATTATAAGCATCAACTCTCTCATTACTCTTGCATTTGAACCATTGCACTTTTAATTTCAACAAGTTCTTCCAAGCTAGTACAATAAAAAGAAAGTTGTCTATTCTCACTGAATACTATACTCTTGAATCTAAAAAATAAATAAATCTAAAAATAATATCAATTTACAAGAGAATAATCTGCAACTTCTATTTTGCTTATGTCATATTAAGAGAAAGGAGTAATCCATTCTTAATCAAGAAAGGACAAAACTTTGATATTGTATATGTACTCTTGTCAATCTGTCAAGGACACAAACTAAAAGAAGATACATAAACTCATAGAATGTATATCAAAAGCAAAGTGACAAAATAAAAGAAAGTATGTATATTTAAGAAAGAACTGGAATGGCTATTGTTAAAGACTAAAAAACATAAGACTCTTGAAACTAAACTAAAAGCAAGAAAAGAGTTGACAAGAATGAAGAAGGCCTCACTCTTACGTTTATATATACTACTTAACTAAGAACTATGTGGTGGCATGCTAAAGGACCTCTAATACATGTCCAACTTGTAGGACACATGTCTAATTTGCAAGGCAAGTTTCCTTAGTCTGTGCCATATGTCCAACTTGTAGGACACATGTCTAATTTGCAAGGCAAGTTTCCTTAGTGTATGCTATATGTCCAACTTATATTACAAGTAGTCAACATGTTGACACATGGCTTTCTTATTGGCCAAGTTTTCAACCTACCAATCACCTATAGACATATATAAAAACAAAGCAGTATCTATGAAGCTTCTACGAAGCTTTTTATAAGATACTATTATATATATATTTACTTTGACTTACTTCTATCTATTCTTAGTATATACATAATTATCAAGATAAATATGTATGTTTGTGATAGCATTACTTATTTATGATAGAGTATTGTGAATTCTACCAATATAATTTAATTAGTGGAATAATTTTTTTAATTTTTTATAGTTATTTAGATACAAAATATTTATATTAGAGATTTTAATTGAATATTTAAGTATTTATTTAAACTTAAAAGGGTTTATAAATTATAAGAATCCTATTAAATAAAAAATTATAAGAATAGAGTCTTTGCAAGTCTTGGAGACAATTATCTTATTTGATTTAATAATTTTTCTTAATGGTGAGAGCTAGTATTTAGTTATTAAAACCAATATCTATATTGGACTTCTATCTATAATTTTTACTCATTAAAAACCTATAAATATTTTTTAGCAAGTAGAAAAAGTATTAAAAAGAAAAACTTCATGTCTTTTTAATGATTTATATAAAACTAAGATATTTATTTGATTTAAATTTACTATATCAATATAAAAAAGAATCAAGGTAGAAAAAATTTATCTTCAACTTAATTAGAGTAGTATAAATATTACAAAGATTTTTATAATTTATTAAAAATTTATTTTAAATTTATTTAAAAAAATTTAAGAATTATGAAAGTATATTTTCAAGACTTTGGTACAAATGATTTTATTACCTTTAGACGCTATTATGAATAAGTTCAGCAAGATTTGAAGGCCACACAATTTTTTAAAGTTAATTTGGTGTTTTTAAATTTTGTAGTGAGATTAAAAAAGGAAAAAAAAAAAAAAAAAAAAAAAAAAAAAATTACAGGTAGTTAATGAAAGACCAACAATTAGTAAAGTAGTTGTAGGAAGGAAGTTATACATGTTCCATATGGATTGTAGTACTTTGGATGTAGGTAGGAGTAAGACTATGGCCTTGTGGCATTTCTACAACATCCATATACACTATTTATGAGTCTTAGTAAAGGTCAAATTCTTGATATTTTGAACAAGGTTGTAGAATCTTAGCACTAATGATATCCATTTTGTCTTCTATGCTCCATCTCTTACAATTAATTATCTTTGATAATTAATATTTTTTTCTACAATAGATGATATTAATTGATTAAGGATATCTATTATAAATATTTTTTTATTATTATAAAGTTATAATATTTATCATATAAAATGAATTTGTTATAAATTTAGATTCTTTCGTCTCTAATAATTTAGTTTTAAAAAAATTAATAATAATTATATTTTTTAAAAATATCTTTTATAGTATATTTTATTAATTATATTAATTCTTATTTTTGTATTATTTTATTAAATATAATTAAAGAATTATCTATTTTTATATTTTAAATTATTTTAGATATATTTTATTTTTTAGTTAATAAATCATCTTTAATATAATATTTTTAACTAAAGTCAATTTCATGTAAATCATGTATTAAATAATGGTGGATTAAATGTATTTGTAAACATTCTTGATCATTATTGATTATTTATATACCATGACAAGTAGTTAAAAATATAATAGTATGTTTTATTCCATTAGATCTATTTTCTTGAGTTTTTTTAAATATTCTTCTTAGAAATAATATGAAGTTGAATAACTTGTCTAAATATATTAAGTAAAAGAAAGATAAATATGCTAAAGAGATGGACATTCAAATTATGAATTCTATAAATAATATTAATAAGAAAAATAGTTTAAAGAAAAAGCAATGATACTAATTGTTTTTAGAAACTAGTTGTGTATTCTTATACTATTTAATTTACATAGAGAAATATTAATATTAAAAATAATAAGATTTTGATTTATTTTATCCTTGATGAACTATAATCTTTTAGATTTTTTTTTTTTTTTTTTTTTTTTTTTTTGTTAACATGATGAACCAACAATACATACTTATCTCACAAACTTTATTATCATTATTAACTAATTGGAATCTTTGCTCATAATACACTGCTGTAGACATCATGTACAAATACATCTATCTCAACTTCATTTTGCACAACTATGTTGTTTAATTTAGTTACTGTAGGAGTCTCAGTGTTGCAATTTACACATGTAAACATTTTTGTAAAAAGATAAGATTAGTAGAAGATCATAGAAGCATTAATCATGTATTTTTTCTTTCAACCTTCACTTGTCCATACCGTGACTTAAACAGTAATTTAGTACCAAAGAAATTTGGACTGTGGAATTTACTGTTGAAAATGTGTAACAGTGAAGTATGATGTGACTAAACACAATTTTGAGGGTTTTGAATATTTACTGGTAGCTTAGTCTTTTTGCGATAAATAAAATTGAGAGTAATTAGCACCAATTGTGTAATTGATCTGCCAATTAGAACAAGTCATTGGTTAGTGTTCTGATATTGATGTAAAGACATTCAAATACAAGTACCAAAGATTATCATTCCATGTAGGAATTCCATCAAGAGCACCATTTTCTTCAAAGCATTTTTTTTGTGTGATTTCTTTTTTTACATGAAGACTAATTATACGGTTAGAATCTGCAACAATTCCTGTTTTCTTGGAAAAGTACAACAATTCGTCTCTACTTTTCAGTGTCAAAAATAGGGAGTTGAGTCTATCGTGTTCATATTTCGATAAAACCACGTTGTTCCAAATTAGTAGACAGGTTTATTCAACGCGTATACACACACTTCCACAGTTTTCAACAGAACAGTGTGCATTAGTAAACCGCTTTCCCAAAGTGAATTCTTATTAAGTACGCACTCGCAGACCAGGCATTAACAACCGTAGCCGAGTCAGGGTTCGATGAAACGCGTAAATCAGTTTGTTTATATATGGCTGGATTAGTAAACATAAACATCACTTGTAGTGAATCAAGTTTTCCACATATAAGTGTTGATTTCCTCGCAAGATATTCCGAAACTAGATTCTGTGTAAAGACATGTAGTAAGTAGTAAGAACCTCTCAGTAATGTAGGTGCCAATCAGAATCACATCGTATAAAAGTCCTATTTGTGAGAATATACACATGTGAAGTTGCTCGAACTTAATCCTCGCGTCATGTTGTGATTCTAAGCAACTCCTTGTTCGCAACACAGTTGCATGCATGTTGATTAAGCTAAGAATCACTAATTAACAAACTTGGTGATGGAGTAGCAGCATATGTCCGTTATTAGGTTAGTACACCATAGCATGTTTAACATCACAGATTGTAACAATGTGACTTAAAAGCAGAAGTTCCCAACATAGACTGAGTCGCATCCCCTAGATCATTTCAATGCTAAGCTTTGCAACTGGTTAAGTGAATGAAGAGAAGAATTCATGGACGTATGTTAATCGAATTAGTCGCAACTGAACATTTAAGGGGTTAGCAAAAGTGACTCGGCTGCCTGCTTGAGTGAAAGAACTATAGGCGGGTCTTTTCAGGGATTATAATAAAATGCGGTGGATTAGTAAGTAGATGTCTAGAGCCAAACTGACCACTTCGCATGTCTACACTCTCGAGACTAATATAGGCAAGAAAACCCAGACGTAAAAAGTGAATGAGGTCTCTCTGATTGAAAGTACCTCGGTTTCTACTTTGGAGACTATTGAAGAGGTCAAGTTTTGAATGCTCTGAAGGCATTGCTCTGAAGAGATTGAGAAAAAAAAAACATGCTCTACTTAGAAAATCTCGTCGAATCAATCCATACCTAGGCTGCTGTGGGTTCTGATGAGGGAGCACTGGGAGTGTACAAACCCAGCTGGATCATCATGGTCCTCTTAGCCCTGGACAAACGAGACTTCTGGTGCCCAGCCTTGTTCCTGTGAAGGGAGCCAACCTTAGCTGCTTTGTCAATAATTTTAAAGGCCTCTCCAATAAGCTTCTCGATGGGCTTGAAATCTTCCTCTGTAGCGTCCGTCTTCTTCTTCAGTCCGTCAAGAGCCACGAATACCTGGTAGAATCCCATTTACAACAACTGCCAATAAGCCGAAATGACAAGAATCTTCTAGTCTCTAAGGTCAGAGTTAAGGATAAGTCACTGGAGGTAAGGTCAAGTACCAGAGTAGAGTAACGACATTGCGTTTAGATGAATGCAGACACATTATCTACCTTTTTCATACGAGTGGAAACCTCGGACTTCTTCGCCTTGTGATACACACGTCTTTTCTCATTTTGACGAGCTCTCTTATCAGCCTGGTCAGGTTTCTTGGTTGGAGCTGCCGCGGCCCGCACTACTACTGACCTTCTTGTCACTGGGCTCACCACTGAGCTTCTGCAGGCTACACCTGTGAAGTGGAATAATAAAGGGTTCATTATCGCAACATTGACTTCAAAATTCGAAAACACGACCTAAGTTCAATGATTCAATTTTAGAGGGCAAGGATTTGACGGTTTCTTCAAGTCAAATCCATTTCCTAATGAAAGACCGATTAAAGATACAAGAAAGATATCACGGAGCTTCTCGGTAGCGTAAGAGAAAAACCAAATTCCACTCAGAATACAAACCCGACTCCTTCAAGGTAAGACTCAACGACAAGACTAGAATCTCATAATAACAATTACTTAAAATGTGTCACCATATCTTAACAACCTACGGAAGTAAAGCATCCGAAACCCTGGGTCTCAAAGAACACCTTATCCGAAAACAATCCCACTAATTTCAGAACTAGAACCCCAGCAGGGCGAGCCCCTACTCCCGAGAAACGACGGAATGAACACGGAAAACACTCCAACATTCTCCATGATCATATCCAATACTACTCTTAAAAAAATCCGCTTCCAAGCCATTCTCCGTAGCTGCAGGGCGTCGCTTCTAGGACCCCATGACCCATACGAAGCGAAACCCAAAACAAAAAGCAAAAAACAAAACAAAAAGCGAAGGGAAGAGGAAATCCTACCTTGCAAGTGCAAACCCACAAAGGCGGAGCTCAGGGACACAGTCGACCGTGGCGAGGAAGCACGGACGGACACCACTTGGGCTACAGGCAGCGACCCCACGGTGGCCCTGCAGGAGCTCCCCACTGCCATCGCCATAGCTTCCAAACAGTGGTGCTGCGAGACGAGAGTGAAAGGGGAGCTCGAAATGGGTGAGGTTAGTGGCCGCGTATGCAAAGATGTGCTAGCACGGAGGAGGAGCGGATATGGGATGTGAGCCAGTGAGAAGGAGAGTGGCGCTCCAGCGAGGGCATCCAATCTTATTGTGTGATAAGACGGAAGGAAGGGAGCGAGACGGAGACGGAGGAAGAGAAGGCCTCCCCCTCACAACGCTGCGCTGAGCAAAGGAGAGAGGCCTATCCACTCCAGATGTGGCTGCTGGTGGAACCCCCTCCCCCCCTTCTGGATGGACGTCTTCATTCGTTCGATTCTGGATGACTTCTGGCTCTCTCGTCTGCCTGTCTGTTTGTATGTGAGTTTTCATATTCGAACTTCGTGATCGTGTTTCTGTGGTCGATGAAACCATCACCTCTTGACATTCATGTATGTGTATTAATTAAATAAAAATCATATGTGTGTATATGTTCAGGCGAATGGTAAATAGACCCACTTTTGATCAAAATGGTAATCATAATGAATGGTTTATTCTTATTGGTTGCACATCCACCAATAGTGGAGAAATGAATCTAGAGTTTTTTATTTTGTTTTATTTTATTTTTATTTTCTCCTTCATGATGGTTAGAATGGGTGGATTGATTTAGTAAAAACTTGGGTCTATTTAATTTTCCCCTATTATATATATATATATATATATATATATAATTATGTTATATTATTATGTTATATATATATATAATTATGTTATATTATTATGTTATATATATATATATATTATTTTTAAAATAAATAAATAAACACACACATTCTTCAATATTGACATGTACAGTTTTATGTAATTCTTTAGAAATTTTCAAATAATTTAAGTGTTAATAATTGATGAATTGTTAGAACCACATAAGGGTATGAATTTATGAATTCAACATTATTTTTTTTAGAATTTTAGGGGTTAGAGGTGAAGTCAATTTGATCATAAACTCCAATTTTATTAGGTAGTGTGACTATATTAATTGAAATTATTGTTCTTTACATGACTTTAAACAATGCATAAGTCATAAGACAATGTAATATCTAAATTAAATTAAAATAGAAAATTTGATTAATTTTTTTCTATTTGCAATATCTAACATTTAGCTTTAGCAAAAACCTGAAGTAATAAGTCTACTTTTAAAGAATTTTTTTGTATGATTGTAATTTTTATTCTGTTATATTTGTGTAACCAAAAACTCAATCATCTTATCCATTAAATTTTTGTGTAATAGTAGTTTTTGGTTGATTTTCCTAATTCCTTTGTCCCTCTTAAGTTATTGAAATCATTAATTATTTATTTTCATTCAAAGCATGAAGGGATTGTGCTGGTAGAATCAGAAAAAAGTGGTACATCAAGCTATTTGTTTTAGTTAAATTATTAATCTGTTCATGCAAATTTTAGATCTTTATCAAGTTATGTTTTTTAAAAAATTACTTGTTCGATTGCAATACTTCTTCATAATTCATAATCTTTTGTGTTAATCAAACATCTAAATAATTTAAGTTTTAAATTTGATACCAAGTTAAATCCCCTTTCCATTTTTTTTATTATTTTTAATAAATATTGAGATTTAATCTATTCATTTCTAATTTGTATTTTCATTTTTCATTTTTCCTTATATAGCTAAATATCATTTTTCCACCAACTACAAATCCTAAAATCTTTAAAGAGCTCAAAAAGCAAACCTTATCATATTCCTCTTATAAAAAAGAGGGCTTAGATTGGGCTTACTAAGCTCATTCAGTAGCTAAACCTGGTACATTCCATCTACATACCTTACGCCTTGTGGACTGCCCTAAGTTGATCCCATCAACTCCCCCATGCATGATAAACAATAGGGTCCAAGCTAGCCTTAAAGCAGCCAACAAGGCCAATTGGAGGCAGATTAATTTAAATTATGAGAGATTCAATTGGATCTATATGTCTCACTAATGCTAGAACAATGGTTGCAAATTGTAGCTATACCATTCAAATAGTGAGATAAAATCTAAGTGCATGTGCACCAAACAACTTTTGTCCTTTGATCCCTCCTCTGAGTACTTAGTCACTTCTCTCCAACTCTCCTCCTTTTGCCCAAGCCTCCTTGGGCTAAAAATTGTAGATGGGTCGACATTTAATATTTTGTCGAAATTTGGTTTAAATTGGGCAAAGCATGGCTGGCCTAGCTTGGGTAGGGCTATGGGCAATTGGCTAAAACTTTGGGGGCAAGGAGGGGCACCAGAGACAACTAAACCAAGCCAGGGCGTTTGTGGGATGGATGGACTTCATCTCAATAAAAGCCCAGTCTAAGCCCCAGCTAATATATTCACAACATTTTTTTTAATTTTTTTTCCATAAAATTTTATTTATATATTTATTTAAATTCTTTTTTTTTTCTTCTCATAGATTAACATTGTCCCTCCAAGTAGAACATCTTAATTAAGAGTTCAGCACCTTAGTGTTTTTCTTTGTCTTTTTCTTTCAAAATCCTCTTCCTTGATTTTAAATTCAAGAGATGCAGCCTTGAAACGCCTTCATAATTTTCCTTAACACACCACACACGCAAAATTCTGGCTTCTCTTCCCGAATCCACATCGACAACCACCGACATGGCACCTTTGTAAACACTTCAAAACGTGTCGGTACCGACACGCCTCGGAACTAACACCACCGATCGGAGTTGCAACAAGGGTCTTCGCGTTCATTCAGCACTGGTCGAACTATTATTCGCCGCATGTCGACGACGACCGACTTGATGAAGCCCAAGAACATGTAGATTTCCTAGCAATTGGGTTTGATTGTTGTTGAGACGACTGCGGCGTTGAATCTCAGGATCATGGATGGTTCTTCGCCGAACCACGGCGCCTGAGTTGCGGTGTCAGAAATGGGCTTCGAAGATGGGAACTTGGACATGCAGGTTTTTGCAAGTATCCAGCTGCCGAGGCGATGCACTGACCCACCCTGAAGCTTTGACATGTAGCAGGTCTGCTATGGGACCAGTCTGCACTAATACTGTTTGGTGGGCTAACTTGAGAGGGATTGCGATGAAGGGTGGTGTAGTCGGTAGATGAGCAACCACTATTTTCAAATACAGTGTCGTGTTCCGTCTGAAGGTGCTGTAGGCAAAGGCTGTACACTGTGTTCGTGATTCGGTCAAATCGGTTTTTGTGTTGCCTTCTTCATTGACACGGCTTGGTTGTTCCTGGGGGCGAAGCCAATTGCTGTTATCGCATCCTGTACACTCTCTCCAGCAATCTTCATACATCCGAATGAGTTGCAATCGCTAGTGTCTGCAACTGCAGTGATTTTGAATTCGTCACTTTATCGTCTCAAAAACCTGCACAGTGGTGTATCGACCAGCGACACAGAGACTACCCCCTACAGACTTAGAATGTGTGAACCCATCATCTCTTGGCTTCATGCGGCTACAGTGAGTGTTTAGCTTCGAGCTCAGATTTTATGACTAACAAAAGACGATACATTCAATTTCAGGATTGTAGATCCAGTCAAAAGATGAACAAATTCTTCCTGAGAATGTTTCGGAGAGTACACGGTAGATTAGCCACTAATGCCGAAGAATCTACAAATCCCAGCAAAGAAGTCAGCAATCTTGTTCTCTCCCCAACGTAAGATGCATCCTTCTAAGAGCTTACAAAAATACTTCATTTATGTTCAAACATGAATGTGCATGAATGTGTAGGAACAAGAAGAAAGGCGGCACTTTCTGGAACTTGTTGTATAGTGGATAAGTCCCAATTTCTGGTACAATATAGAAGTATATTGTACCAGAAGTATTGATTTTCACTTTTGGAAGAGAAGTATTGAATGATATATTCTCTTCAAGAAGTGGGATTTAGTTCTTTACTAAAACAAGACCTAGCATATCTTTAAAAGTTAGAAATTTATCTCTAATAAGAGGTTTTGTGAAGAGATCTATTGCCATCTGCTCTATGGAATAATACTCCAATTCAATTTGTCATTTCTCTACATATTGTCTAATAAAATAATGTTATGTATTTCAATGATTTTTTTAGCCATGGTATATTGGATTCTTAACAATAATAATAGCGTCTTGATTATCTTCATAAATGAGGATTTTTTTGGCTTAAGAATGTCATAATCCCAAAAATATTTTACAAAGCCACAAAGTCTCTCGTATTGTAGCAACCAAAGTTGCATATTTTATCTATATTGAAAAAATAGAAATTAATGATTGCTTCTTGCTTGACTAAGTGATAATTGTATTGTCCAATATAAATGTATAGTTGCCTACTAAACTGTGCATTTCCATATAATCTACTCTATTTATATCACCATAATCCAGAAGTTGCAAATTTACTTCTTTGCCTCCATATCACAACACCAAATTTTTTTTTATCCTTGTAATTAACAAAATATTAGCTTCATCCCTTGTCAATTCAAAATATATAGATGAGCCATATATTAAGCAAAGTATTGACAAGAAAATACAATATTATACCTTATATTATTTGTAAGGTATAATAACAAACCTAAAGCTTTAAATCTTCTGCATTCCAATTTTTTTCATTCTCATGCTTAAAGAAATAACCTTGTATCATTGGTGTGGCAACTACTTTTGTGTCTTTCATTCCAAATTCTTTCAACTTTTGACAAATATATTTAGTTTGATTCAATTTAATAATACTATTCTTGTTATCTTGCAAGAAATCAATGTCAAAGAATAAACTTGGTTCACTGAGGTCTTTCATCTTGTAGTATTCTTGCAATTCATCATTGTATTTTACAAGGATTTCAAAGTTCTTGCTACCAATCATTACACCATTGACATGAATAATCAATGTAAGGATTAATCTTTCAATATATATTTTGTACAAATAAAGATATAATTTTAAGTACTTTTAACTAAGATTCAATAAAGATCCATCAAAATTTTTGTTTTCTTTTGCATTTAGATTGCTTCAAATCATACAAAGTCATTAGCAATTGCAACACCTTAACTTTGTATTCAAATAAAAAATTCAATAATTCTAGAATCTTCATATAGTTGTCTTCCTCTTTAAATTTTTCATTCAATTAATATAAAACAACATCAATTTACAACATATTCCAATCAAAGGTAGTAGCATTTGCAATGAATATGTAAATTGTTCCAAGATAAGCAATTAGTGTAAAAGTCTTTTGGTAATAAAGACTTTTCACTTGAATAAAATCTTTTGTA